CTTTGATTTGTGGTAGCACACTTCCAGCCGCGCCATACCCAGTACAGGACGGATGCGCAGTGTACAGGACAAACGGAGAGGGGAGGCGCTAGTCAGAACACGCGGTGGACAGGCGACCCTTACTGTTAGTGCGGAGTCGAGTAGCACCCGAATTTTCTACTCTATAGCTCTACAGGTAACACAGCCTTGGTGGTTGCAAATTGGTCTCCCAGTGTCTGCCATTCATGCTTGCTTGAAGGAGGACCGCTATGGGCGGTATGGCACCGGGCAGCCTTGCTTACTCGGGTTATAAGGTGAAACGAGTCCGAGGATGACTAGATCAGCAGTTTTCGCCGTTTTCTGTTCCACGCGGAAAGCAACAGCTCTGACACCAGAGCATTCGAAATTCCTTGATTGAACTTCTAGAACCAGACCTGATAGCTCGCAAAACCCACGGACGTAGCGTACTGAAAGCCAGAGCAGCAAATTCAACAACTAACCGGTAGACGTTGCTGAACACACCGCTGGCATGCAGTCGTAGATTGGTCATCTTCAGAATAACCGTCTTCATTTCTGGCATTTCCTTGGCCGGCTGAACAATCAGTTTTGACAGGAGAGGCATGGGTCATTACTACTCATAACATACCTGCTCAACGATTTCTTGACTCATACACCACTAAGATAGCAACACTAACAGCTACCATATAACAGACGTGGAAGTATGAAATGAAACCACACCGGCTTATTGCTATATTATTGAAAGTGATAGAAGGGAGTGTTATCACTCTACCGAAACATCGCTCCCGCAAAATTGACAACTAGAAGTAGTCTCGACCGCCCAGCAGGGTCAAGCATGTTGGGCTGCGCTCATACTTTGCGGCAGCCTCTACAGCTTCCAAGCGTCCGGCAGCATCAGCGACTTGGGAAGTATAGATATCGATCTAGCGTCTACCAGCATCCGGGAGAGGAGAATATTGGCGCGTTAGGAGAGTGGCAGGTAGCTGGTAGAGTATGAAGAGATAAGAGGGTCAGCCGGTAGAGTGTAGGGAGACAGGTGGCAAACTGTTTGTAGAGAGTAGGCGCTATAGGAGAGTACTTGCTGTCTGCTGCACTTTTGTAAGGCCATACTCTGCTCTCCCGAACGCTGGTGGATGTTGGTGCACGCTGGCAGACGCTGGCAGAAGCTAGATCAATACCTATACACCCCTAGTCCATAGAAGCTAGATCAATACCTATACACCCCTAGTCCATAGCTGCCGGAAGCTCGCAATGCTGGTGGACGCTACTGGTCGCTGGTGGACGACCAGTGGCGTCCATCAGCGATCGCAGCGATCGCTGCCGCAAGGTATGAACTCAGGCTTACGCGGAATATGCGGCGTGAGGATCATATGTGAATTGACAGTAGAAGGGGGGGGTGTGGCATGTACAGTTTTCACAACGAACACAGTAGTAACGTCGGTAGAAAAACTGGTCTCACTTATGTATCTCACCGTCGGACGGAGGATCTTCCTCGAGTCGGCGAATGTCAACGAAATGCAATAGTAGACGAAGTGTTACACCTTTTTCTTAAGGGGAATTCTCCAATTTTCAAGTTCATGTAAAACTTCACTCTACGTCATGCTTGAAAAAGTTGTGTCATCAGAAGTTCGAAAGTTTTCGAACCAAAGACACCGCCCGAGGACAGCTTCAGCGTGTTTTGAGTAAACCGTTCTCCACGGTCATAAATTTGGCCTCCCACTCGGCAAAAGTTGGTTTGCGGATGAATTTATACAATGAACAAGAGGGTTGGAACTCAATGAAAGTCCATTGGACCATGAGCTTCACAAGAGCAACATGAAACAGGACAAGTCAGCGGCTAAGAAAAGAGTGGGTTTTATAGACATCGTCTTCTAGAGGTGGTCTTGTCGGTAAAAAGTTACGCGATGCTTGACCCTTCTACGCAGGCCCTAGAGTCCGATAAGGAATGCTGAACACACCTTCAAATAACACTTATCGTCTTGTTCGCTGCAGATGCTAGGGCGTGTCAGGGGGCTGGGTTTGACACAACACCAGCGCATTCTTCGGCAGCTGCTGAAGCATGCAAGCAAGGCTCCAAACCCCGCCCTCCTGAGCGAGCACCTAGACCTAAACTGAACCAGCAACGGCAAGCCATGACTCTGACCTCCTTGATTGGAGTAGTTACAAGATGTAACTGGTCTTGAAGGCTTCTCAATATATTTCTGAGTCATATCTCAAGTACCCCAAGTATTTCATATTTCAGTGCACCCTGTTAAGTATGAAGCACTTCACCAGGTCTGTTAATTTATACAACCTGATGCACTGCCCACCCTCACTTGATGATCGGTCTATCAGCTGTAGGGCTATCCAGGCCCTTGAAAAGAGGGACGCAGCGGCTGTTGGGGGCAGAAGTTGGTGAGAAAACTTTTTGACGTCTTAATATATCTAACCTCCGGTTTTCGCTTCGGTGTTACAGCAATGACATAAGCATGTTTACAGCGCAAATCGTGAACATCAACAACAATAACAACAGAAACAACCATTTTTTATTCGATATCACAGACATGGTTAACTTTTCCATGGGACATAATGCCCTTTCTACTGTCGATTAAAAAATTCAAGAAGACACGCTATACTTAATACCCGCAGTTTGACTGAGGAGAACTATAACTCGCTATCGATACAATGCTAATCGTGAGCTAGAATGGTCCACAGATTCAAGAAAAGTTGGTACGGAAACAGTTACCTAGAATTTGTTCGACCAGACTTAAATATATTCTGTTATCCCAGTCGTTCTCTTCCTAAAGCGATGGCAGTTCAGCAACTACCTACATTACTTTCAGAACACACTAAACCCTCTATACAACATTTTTCAACTACTCTCCGCCACTGTGTCTTCCTTGGCTTGAGCCAAAACATCCTGAAAGAGTGAAACAGTTACATTCATAGTTAGGACACGAACACTCGAAAACAATCGAATTTTCGGCGCAGTTCGGCTTGGTGGGCAACAAAAGGTATTCGGAGAAGTACGTAGATGGTACCTCGTGAAGACGTGCGGTACAGTACATAGATGTACATTCTTGCAACCAAAGGAACTGGCTTTCACCATTTTGAAGCTTCACAAGGGTTTACAAACCTCCCCAAAGTGAGACGTGTTCATTAACATGAACTACTAGAAGGAGGTAGCTAAGATGCAAGATGGTCCTTCTAAGCCGAACAGCGCCAGATTTTCATAGATTACAAAGAGCAGAACAGTGGTTGCATACAGTCACTTTTAAAGGCAGTTGGCACGATGGTTTCCTACTTAGCCTAAAATGCTAGTAGGGCGCTGTATAGTGGGGAAATGGCGAAAGAACGGAGTGAAACGGTCAAAATCCTGCGAAGAAAAAGCCTCCGTTCTCAGTGACTTGTAAATCGATTTCGGACGAGTTTCCCGTAGGCATCTTACCAATCACCGCTACCGAAGATACGGCTGCATATGTGTACCCATTTAGGCATGCAGCATCCCGGCCGCTTCATACCAACCCCTTCGCTTCATAATT